ACAAAGGGCTGGGGAGGATATACTTCTTCAATGGTAAAGCATCCCTGGGTTTGATTCCCAGTACCAGGGGAGAAAAGAAAATAAAAAATTGGAATACAGCTAATTTAAAAAGACACAAATACAAGTGTTGGTGAGGATGTAGAACAACTAGAATTCTAACATTTTGGGCTGAGGATATAGATCTTGAATTCCAACCCTAGCACCCTAAACACAAACAAAAGGAATTCTCACATTTGGCTGATGGGACCATCAAGTATTATAACCACTTCGTAAAACTGTTAAATATTGTCTACTAAAGCTAAACATGTGCCTACAGTATGATCAAAAAATTCCACTTCTGCATATATACTATATATATATATATATATGCAAAAAAAAGTTTGTTATGTCTAACAAAACACATATACAAAGAGGTCCATAGGAGCCCCCAAATAGACACAAATTAAGTGTCTGACAATAGTAGAATGGGTAAATATGTTTGGCATATTCATACAGTGGAATACTACAACATAATAATGATGCACCAAAGAAGCCAAACACAAAATGGAGCAAACCACCTGATTCCATTCATATGGAATTCATATTGGCAAAACCAATCTATGGTGATAGAATCACTGAAGAGTAATTATCTATGGGGGATGTGTACTGCAGGAAAAGAGTACAGGGAATCTTCTGGAGTGCCCCAATTGTCCTTAACTTAAACTAGGTGATGATAAAATTGGTGTATTGTCATACAAAAAGTCATCAAGCTTTACCTGGGCATGGTGGCACACACCTGAAATCCTAGCAACTTGGGAGGCCGAGGCAGGAGATCAGAAGTCCAAGGCCAGCCCTAGCAACTTAGTGAGAACCTCAGCAACTTTGCAAGACCCTGTTTCAAAATAAAAAATTAAAATAAAATAAAGAAAGATTTGGGGATATATGGCTCAATGGTAAAGCATCCCTAGGTTCAATTCTTAGTAAAAAAAAAAAAAAAAGCAAAAACAAAAACCACGAAAGTTTGTCAAGCCTTCTACTTAAGATTTGGGCATTTTAGATATACTTCAATATAATTTTTTAGCCATTAAGGCTTTGTAATTTCTCTTTCCTTTTTGATAAAAACTCCAGTAGGGAAGTTATAAAAAATGGAGATAAATGCCAGTTGTCCATCCAGAGAGGACTTAATGGAAAGGTAACAGTGTAATATCTAGGAGAATGGACTTAAGAATGTCTGACCTGATTTCAAGTTTTGAACAAATCACTTGTTAGCTGCAAAACCTTAGATATTTGATATCTCAAACCCTAAATTTCATTATGTATAAAACAGGGAAACACAAAATGGAATAATGACCTCATAGGAGTGTTCAAACTACTATATAAGAAATGTAAAACTCTTAATTATTTATCATTTATTAAATACACACTATGTGCTACACACACTGTAAAGTATATTACCTTACCTAACCCTACAAAAACTGTATGAGCAAGATATTAAAATGTCTACTTTAAGAATAAAGAAACTAAGTATTAAAGGGCTTTCTTATTATAACTGGCAGGTGATTTTGATCTTAAAATCCCTGAATATAAGCATTACCCTCTACAGACATTGATATACTTGGATGAAGAGATGGGTTGTTACTGAAAAATAAAATCAGTAACTAGCCTAAGTCCTGCAGAGGAGCACCATATTTAACTAAAGCTTTCTGTTAACACCTGAAGGACTAGCAATTCATCTGTAGCATAAATATCCTTGATCACTGTAAGGAAACAAAATGTCTCACAAAGTGATTGTGTGAATTTAATGAGATAAATTAAAACCTTTCTTTCAGGTCACAAAAGAATGTGACAAGTAACAGGTGGTCCAGTAACTCCGTCCATACTGTTTCTAATAATCTACTTGGTCTTTTTTTCATACAAGGTAAAAATTCAATTTTTATACAATTCTTAGCCTATACCAGGCACTGTCCTAAGCACTGGGACCATTAAGGATTTGAATGGATCACCAAAGGTTCATTTCCTCACCCACTCCCTCTAAATAAGAATTAGGGTTGGATTCATGTTTGGATGCCAAATTCCTAAACTAAATTATCCAAAGCAGGTTGTTTAATCTCAAATCAATTTATATTCCTATTAACCCATTTCAGTGTTCCCATCCAATAAAAAAATGTTTTTGAACAAGTATATTCAAGGAACTGTTCTAAGCAAAGATAATTCAAAGTCCCTACCCTCATCAAGCTAAAAATTCTAGTAAAGGAGACAAAGAGAAAATAAACACACATTTCAGGGAGCAAGAAGCACTGTGGAGAGAAATAAAGCAGTAGGGATTCAGAAAGTGGAGGACTGGGGCAGTATATTACAAAGAATAATCAGGAATAATACTTAGGCAGTAACCTGAATGACTGAGGAAACAAATTGCCAAAACCCTGGGAAAGACTACTCTAGGCAAAGGAAAGAGCAAGTATAAAAATCTTGAGGGAGGAACCAATTTGGCATGTTTGGAGCATGACAGGAAGCCACTGGAGAATTGGCAGAAAAATGACAATGTTCTCAGTTTTATCACTTTAGCTGGTGTGTGGAGAATATAGGAGGGCAATAACAGAAGAGTTGCATTGTAGATTAGTAAGTAGTTAAGAATTAACAATTCATTTCTTTTTAAGCCACTTTAAAGAATATCTTCATAGAAATAAATTTGTGTCATGTCTCAGACTATTTACTCCAACCATTTGCCTCAATCACAGATCAGAAAGGTGTGCCGTTCTTTCTAAGGTTTCTATGTTGCAGTAATAAATGAAGTTCATAATCCATTTATATACTTAGTCAAATCTTGGGTTTTTCTGAAAATAAAAGGTAGGAACTTGAGCCTTCTTAATCATACCCTCTTAAACATAAAATACACTTTTTTTTTAAATTTTTTATTGTTGGCTGTTCAAAACATTACATAGTTCTTGATATATCATATTTCACAATTTGATTCAAGTGGGTTATGAGCTCCCATTTTTACCCCATATACAGATTGCAGAATCACTAAAATACACTTTTTAAAGGGTTCTGGTAAAATGTTCTTTCCTTGGTGAATGCAGTTCAAATAGCTCTAGCCTTAATCACTTTTCAAGTTTTAATCTCCACATGCTTGGCATATTCTGATAACACTGACAGGTTAAAAGCAACACTGTGTTGTATGCATAGTGATTGCTTGCAATTAGCCATAATTTAAGCTGAAAGTAGACTGATCAGCTGCCTCACAGCAACATTTCTAAATTTATTAGATAAATATCTCTGGAGAACTTCAGATTAAAAAGCAGCAACAAGCTCTGCAAAATTTCAGCTTTCCTTTACCTAAACAGAGTATTAAAAGAGTGAAGGTGCTGATAAAACAAATTCTTGAGAAAAAGAGACATTTGGGGCCCTTATTACACCAAGTAGCTGCAGATAAGGACAACGGATGATGGAGATAAGAAAAGAGAGATAAGGAAAACAATGTTCCAAGAAGGCTCTTTACCTTCCTTCTGTAAAAGGTACTTTGCAGCCTACTGATATTCAAAGCATAACCACACTACAGCAGATGTATGGAATCTCTTGCACATTCTGAATGGACCTCACCAGCATCTGATGTTATCATTCCATCCCTTTAAACTGTGCTCAACAAATGACAACTATTATGTATGACATTTAATCTCTCAATGTTACCTGACTGATGTCATTAACCCTACCTATATGAAAACAAGAATTCAGAACGATGATGTGCTCAGTCACGAAACAAATTAGTGAAAGAGACAAGATGCAAACTCAGGTCTGTTTGATATCAAGGCTTGGGCTATTCCCATTCTGCTTAGATGCCAAATTTTTATCTCATCTACAGGATCAAGGCAAAAATCAGGGCGAGGAGGAAATGAGAGACTAGCCTAAGACTGTTTAGTATTCTTTGTTCTAGTTTATTCATTATTATTTATTGTATCAAATAAATGCATGTAAATGAGGAGTCTTAACATTAGAAAATTAAAGATAAACTAAAAAGAACAATCTGCAATCCCATCACCTGCAGATAGCTCTAGCTTTGATCTACCTTGGCAAGACTAAGCAGAGCCTAACAATATGGTCCTGCCCACTTCTAATCCTCTTGTCATACAAACATAATCCCCAAAGCTAATTTGGCCAGTTTTGGTCCAGAAAGTGTTGCAAATGTCAGGTGAAGCAACAGAAAAATCTTTGGGTTTTTGGCAAAAATTACTGCTCTTAGTTTCATTTGGATAGTCATAAAATATTTTAGCATACGATATGATAAAGTTGAGAAATTTGAATAAGATTTTTAAAAAACAGCAAAATTATCTGTTAAGCAAAAAGGCTCAGTTTAGGCATATAATTCCATTTTTACCAAAAATATTAAACAATGTATTTTTTAGAATCTTGGGCTGCAGGTACTTAAGGACTTAAGTTCAATTTGGGGCGAGGGGGACGTAACTGAAACTATTCTTCATATTTAATTGGTAATTTCCCCCATTTTCCAAATTTACCCAACCTCCCTTTCCCTCTCTGCTGAAGGGAATAATGAATAAGCTTCTTATTCCTCAAAATTCTCCTACTCCCTTGACTCAAAGCTTTCTGGAGGACAATTTGATAAGTCAACATTGCCAAACAGATTCGCTCCTGGCCTCCAATATTCATAACACCATTTCTTCAGCCCTGTTCTGGTCTCAAAGTCTTGATTTTTTCCTGCGGTCCCTAGAATGTAAGGAACAGCAATCAGCACTAATAAGTAGTGGCATCATTACAGAGCAAGGGATTGACTCAGGAACTTGAGTTTGGGCTATTTAACTTCATTCCTTTTCTGTTACCCTAGTTAACTGAGAATGTACATATGTATTTAAAAAAAAAAAAAACCTACTATATGATTACTCTTTGACTATGAATGACAAATCTAGAGGGGAAAAAAATCAGAAAAGTTGATTGCTTGCTGGAATAACAAATTCCAAACAATAAGGGATTGCATAAATAAGTTGGCATAGAGATGGAAAACACTGTAGTCATTAAAAAGAATTTTGCAAAGAGTTATTTATTGAAATAGAAAAATCTTTACAATGTGAAGAAACAGGCTACAAAATAGTACACATAATATATAATTTTTATGAAGAAAATATACTTAATATGCATGAAAAATTGCCTTTAGGACATACATAAAAATACTTTTATCTGTGAACTGTGGAAGATGCTTTATTTTCTTTGCACTTTTTGGTGTTTTCCCAACATTCTGAATCAAGCTTGTATCAATTTTGTAAAGAGGAAAAAAACGCACAAGAGATGCTGATTTAAGGAGAGAAGGGAAAAGGAAAGCAGCCAGAACCCTAGGGAAAACCTACATGTTTGAAAGAGAAGAGGAGCCAACATCTTAGACTTGTTCTTTTTCAAAACCAATTTTGTTCCTTGCCAGCTTCTTGCTCTTAGATCTATTTTAGCTTCTTAGATACCTATCAATATTATACTAATTAACTTAGCCTTATGTATCTAGGTTAAAGTAAGTGAAAACGACATAAAACTGTTTTGTAAAATAAAACATACCCCGAATTAGTATTTCTTATAGTTTTAGTGGCCCCATGAACAAAACCTGGCTATACGCAAAAAGACTTTTTGATATCTGTATTGGAAATGTAATCCTCAAATCCCTATAATGATAGTATTTAAATGAGGGGCCTCTGGGGTTCAAGTAGGGTTACATGAGATCATGAGGGTGGGGTTCCAATGACAGGATTATCAATAAATGGGATGGATTCAAACTACAAAGCTTCTTCTTAGCAAAAGAAAACAATCATGTGAAGAGAGAGCCTACAGACTGGGAGAAAATCTTTACATATATATCTCAGATAAAGCATTAATCTCCAGGATATATGAAGAACTCAAAAAACTTAACACCAAAAATAATAATAATAACCCAATCAATAAATGGGCTAATAAACTGAACAGATACTTCACAGAAGAATACAATCAATCAACAAAAATATGAAAAAATGTTCAACATCTCTAGCAATTAGAGAAATGCAAATCAAAACTACTCTTTAAGATTTCATCTTACTGCAGTCATAATGGCAATTATCAAGAATCCAAGCAACAATAATGTTGGTGAGGGGGAAAAGGTACACTCATACATTGCTGGTGGGAATGCAAATTGATGCAAACATTATGGAAAGCAGTATGGAGATTCCTCAGAAAACTTGGAATGGAACCACCATTTGACTCAGCTATCCCACACCTCATTTTATACCCAAAGGACTTAAAATCAACATATAACAGTGACATGACCACATCAATGTTTATAGTAGCTCAATTCAAAACAGCTAAACTATGGAACCAATCTAGGTGCCCTTCAACAGATTAATGGATAAAGAAATTGTGATATGTATATATATACACTCATATATATGGAATATTGCTCAACTTTACAAAAGAATGAAATTATGGAACTGGAGAATACCATGCTAAGCAAAATAAGCCAATCCCCAAAAACCCAAGGCTGAATGTTTTCTGATATGTGGATACCAATTCACCATGGGGGGGTGGGGAATTGAGATACTGGCATGCGCCACTGTGCCCATCCTGAGCTCACATTCTTATTCTCCTTGCCATATCATGCAGCAAGAAGGCCCTCCTCACCAGCTAGGCATGGTAGCACACACCTGTAATCCCAGCAACTCAGGAGGATGAGGCAGGAGATGTGGGCAACAAGCTATTGAATTTCCTACTGTTAAACTATTAAAAAAAAAAAAAAAATCTACCTCTGTTCTTTATAAATTACCCAGTTTCAAGTAACTCTGTTACAGAAGCAGAAAATAGGATTAAGACATACAGCATAGATAAGAAATCTACCTGGGTAAAGAGGTACTTCTGGAAATTCTATCAGTCCTTTCAGGTTGAAGTAGTACCTTTTATAAATTACTGCTACTGGGTATTAAATGTTCCTGTAAGACTGAAAGAATCAACTCCATTCATCCTAGACAGTTTGGGAGCAGCCTATTTAATGACTGAGCTAATCCATCTCACAATTCTCAAAAAAGCAGGGTTATCAAAAAAATATCTGATAGAAAGGCCTTAACATAGAATTCAGATTCAGTTGCGCTAATGAAACAGTACAGTGCTCATGAAAGGGGAAAAAAAAATGAAAAACTTATATGGAATTTAAATGCACTACCAGGCCCAGTGGTGCATGTCTGTAACACCCAAACACATAAGGCTGAGGCAGGAGGATTGCAAGACCAAGGCCAGCCTCAACAACTCAGTGAGACTCTGACTCAAAATTTTTTAAAAGGGCTGGGGATGAAGTACAGTTGTAAAGTACCCCTGGGGGATGACGGGGGAGCACTCCAGTAATGTATACACACACACACTCACACACACGCATTCATGGGGACTTATATGTTTATTATATCATTACCTATATCAAGCATCAGAGAATTAGACAAATTGGAAGTGATCTTGTCATGTAAACTTAGGAAACTCTGGTGAAAGTCTAAAGGTATGTTTTGTTGTTGTTTTTGTTTTCTGGGGGTACCAGGGATTGAATTCAGGGGCACTCGACCACTGGGCCACATCCCTAGCCCTATTTTGTATTTAATTTACAGATATGGTCTCACTGAGTTGCTTAGCAAGCAACTCACAGTTGGTGAGGCTGGCTTTGAACTCACAATCCTCCTGTCTCGGCCATACAATGTATTTTGAAGGAACTTTTTTTCTAGATTTTATCAACAACTCATCTGGAGTACAGCTTATATGAATAGACACTTTGAGAAGGATATGCTAAGTTACCAACTTTAACAACAATGGAGAATCAGAAATTTCTTATTTAACTGAACATATGTGACTAAAGAGATGAGGCTTTTAAAATCTGGGCTTTTATGCTCCTGAAGGAAACTTCAAAGAATTATGTGCAATCTAAAATAACCAGGGAGGACTAGAACATGGGCTTAACTCTGAGCAAAAACATTGTCACTGTGAAAAGTGGATCACAAGAGATCACAAACTCCCAAAGCTAGGGATTTTTGTGTCTAGTTCACTGCCTTTTAAAAAAGGGCTGAGGATGAAGCACAGTTGTGAAGTGCCCCTTTACAAAATAAAATACAAATAGGGAGTTTTGTGTCTAGTTCATCCCCACTTAGAATAGTGCTTTCCACCTTGCAGACATTTAGTATTTAATGAATGAATCAAAGAAGTGCTCCTGGTGCATGGTAGAAGTCAACTGAAATTCACTTCATATAACAATATTTAATAATCTCACGCCAACTGGAGAAGCTATTACTGAATGGCTAATATGTTACAAAGCTAATTATACCATACTGTACACTTTTTAAGGGAAATTATGGTTTTAACTTTAAAGAAGCTGGACCTAGTAATTTTGAAATTGATATTATCTGCTACTAAGGAAAGAGTGGAGTAGTATTATGGGCACACGGCATTCCATGCATTTTCTTCTTCTTAAAGCCCTCTGCACACAGAAAGAGAACATACAGGTGCTGCTTCCTTCAGACCCTGGCACATCACTTGAGGCTCCTATGCTAGCATCTGCCTAGCAGTGCTCACAGATGGAAGCCATTAGTCACCTGTTTAGTGTTCCCACCTTGTCCATCCACCTTCAAATGTAACTGCAGTGAGCTGAAGGAGTCAGCATCTAGTCTTCCACAGCTAGTGCATCACTCCTCAAGCAAAAAAGGGAAAAGTTTACACTTCAGAGGATGGAAGTATCCATGCTGCTTCAAGGTTTCACAGACTTCTTAATGATCATTAGTTCCAACAATACCAAGACAAAGACAGCTAAAAGCTGCAGAATCACAGGTGGGCTGTCACATAGGAGACTACAGGCTTGAGCACTATAAATGATATTTGTTCACACCAGATTAATTGCTTAGAAGGATCAAAATGCAGTTGACAGCTACATATTGATTTTCTTAAAAATAAAGCACAAAAAAATGTGAATAAATTATACTTTTATTTTTCACAAGCAAAAAAAGATAAATGGCAACTTGCCTTTGTAAAAGACATTAAAGAATATCAGAGTAATAAGCTACCCATCTCATAGAGACAGTAGCCTCAGAAAGCCTATTATACAGCTTTTAAAGAAAGTCTTATTAAATAAATCTAAGAATAATATACTTTTAACTAAATGAACAAATCAAAAATGACCACACACACATACCACACATACCACACAAACAAAATCATATAGAACCCACAAAGTGGTAATGTTTAGAAGGAAAAAGGAAAAACTGGAAGTTCTTTATTAAATTCAAGGAGGCTCAAATCCTAAAACAGAAAAAAAAAAGAAATATATTAAAACACAATATTTTAAAGAGTATATTATAGTTTGTTTCTTTCTCTTTCGTGGTCTCCAGTCTCAGATATACATTTTAATGCTTAATTTACTCAAGATATTTTTTTCTTACTCTTGAAGCAATTTTATATACCATAAAGAGATCACAAGACTGACAATGTAGGTATCTGCCTTCTTAATGGGCTCTTCAAGTTTTATATTTCAAATCTGATTCTCGAATCCTAATTAAATGTTTATATAATAGGCTTCTGAAAATGGAATTAGATTTTAAATTGCATTTGCTTAATTTTTACACATTATAGTTTATAAACACCATCTTCATACTTTTGAAAGAGACACAATTTATGGTATGAATAAGGCACATGAAAATACATAACCCTTCCCATAAAGTATGAAGATGCCCAATACAAAATGATATGGTTGGTGGGGAGTAGGTAGAGTGGGAGGTAAAAAACCACCATGTTACAGCATATTACAGAAGGCCTAGAGTCTAGATTCTGTTCTTCACTAGCTATGTCTCAACTTCCTTAGGTTTTCTTTCTGATAAGAAAAAGCAGATGCATCTCTCAGAATTGGAAAACCTTTTCTGGGCAGTTGAGTAAATGTCTCAAATTTTGCAAAGCCCATCACTATTCAATCAGATGGCAATAAAAAAACATTCCATAATCTCACTACAAGAAAAAAATCTACCTAACATTCAAAATTATACTTCATATCTGATTTATACATTATGACATAAAAAACAAATGTCTGTTTCCTTCCTGGCCTCCAGAGCATTCTCTGAGATAAGAGACCACTGAGAACTATAGTGCTATGATGATGGATAAGACTCTAACCTGCTTTTCTTTTGGTTTACCTGTCTCTCTAAAAGCACCTATTAGAGAGTCAACTATTACATAACAAATTCCCTGTACCCTATATATTATATAAAACTTCTTCATTATAGAGAATGATTCTACCAGGAAATTTTTCCTGACATTCTACCAAAATCTTGCTGAAAAAAATCTTGCATTGTTGGAAAACTATTTATTAGAATAAACTGATGCAAGGCAACTGAAAAAAAACTTTGTAGTAGCAGAGTCCTAAAGAACAAAAAAAGAGTTGAATCCCTAGGACTCACAGTATCTCTCACTTATAAAGGTCTAATAGCTACTTAAACCTTAAGTTAATTAATAATTCTCATGGGCCAGTTCAAACATTGAGTTAGAATAAGTGCTTTCAGGTAGTTGAGGGTTTGGATTATATCAACTTTCAAGTTTAGGGAAGAAAAAGAAAAAAAAATAGGTTAAAGATCATATTGAGGGCTGGGGTTGTGGCTCAGTGGTAGAGTGTTTGCCTAGTACATGTGAGGTACTGAGTTTTCAGCACCGCATATAAATAAATGAAAAAAATAAAGGTTCAGCAACATCTAAAAAAATTTTTTTAAAAAAGATCATATTGACCCTCAGATGGACAGCAGAAAACATCTGCCACATTGAACTAGCCACAGCACATATTTTCATCATAACATCATATAATGAGTATTTCCTTGGTTTAATTTTATTTCCTTATGAATTTTTCCCTTTTTTTTTATATTTATTTTTCAGTTTTCGGCGGACACAACATCTTTCTTTGTATGTGGTGCTGAGGATCGAACCCGGGCCGCACGCATGCCAGGCGAGCACGCTACCGCTTGAGCCACATCCCCAGCCTGAATTTTTCCCTTTTGCCACATTCACTACAAAGAATTTGAACTAGAAAATGTAAGAGCAATGAACATATATAAAAATACTTTTCAAAGGATCAGAGACATTCAGACATATGTAGTTTTCTAAGAAGCAAAATTAGAGGTTTACAACACTAGATCATCTCTTGAAATTTCCTATGGGTCTATAATTCTCACAAATTTATATTAATAATATACTATAATGAAGATTAGATATGCATATCACTTACTGTTTCTCTTTAAATATTTATGGATATAACTGTGTTTTTCTAAATGTTTCATTAGTAATACTAAGTCTTGTAAGTCTGGTTCCATAATAATCTATAATGTAACTACTTCCATCTGAAGGTCCAACAATCTAGAAGAGATAAATTTTCAAAAATTAGCTCATTTTGAAAAATACATTTCATAATGCTTTGAATTTACTCAGTAATTAATAAAATTGTTTCAATTGCCATAAAATTTCAACTCTAAGCAAAATAAAAAAGTTAACTGAGTGGCTCATGTAACTCACAGATTCAAAAGAAGAGCTACAAAGTCTTCAAGAACCAAGGCGTTAAGGACTGAATTCTGTGTCCCACAAAGCCCCTGGGTTTGGCCTCCCTGCCTGTTTCCTTTGCTCCGCTTGTCTTCATTCTGCAGGCAGGCATTCTCAACTGATAGTTACAAGCTAGAGATTCACATACTCCCACATTAGCAGCTCCTCAAAAAAAGTAAAATATTCTTCCCCAGTGTTTATATACCAAATCCAGAGAAAGACTTTCATTTATCTGCCTGTTTTTTATTATCTATTACTAGACAAATTACTATATCCAAGGAAATAGAATTAATAAGATTATTGTTAATCAGATTCCCTGTAGGAGATGATGCAATGTGATTCAAAGTCCTGCCAGAACCACCTGGAATGGAAAAGGAAGAGAGAGAAAAAAAAACAACACATGTTCACTACAATCATCTTGTCCATTTAACCATATTTGTGATAATTCAATTAACATAATGTCTGTAAATTATCCGTTAAGGTAGCAATCTTCAAAGCGAGCCTTAAGGGTAGATAAGGAGCTACCATGGTGTATATAGACCCAGTGAGTTCTACTGGTATCCATTTTGAGATACTTGATTACGAACAGATCTGCCTGACATTATGCTATAGTGGAATATTTAGCTAGTTTTCTTTCCCACTTCTCCTCTCTCTATGATCCTCTTTCCAGCTTGGTCAGAGTAAAGCATCCTGCCATCAGAGCTCACCTGAGTCTCACGATAGCACACTGCTCTGATGTGCAAAACCTCTAAAGGGCCAAATCAAGGGGTAATTCAAAATACCAGACTTAGGAAAATTTCCTCTAATTAGAGATCCAAACATATGTTCTGCTACATTTTGTTCCAAAATTGCATTCCCAATAACATTTAGCTCTTTCTTCTTAAAAATAATCTGTTGAATTTGTAACACGTTAATGCTGTTTTCAACCATAACAATTATAATAACTCAATCCAGATAGCTCAGAAAAACTTTTAATTTAATTTTAATAAATAAGATGATTAACAGAAAGTTTTTAAGCATAAAAATACATAAGTTAAATTTTGTGCAAGAAGGAAAATAGAAATCAAATTCAAAGAGAAAAAAAGCAATGTGAAATTATAATGATTTGTGAAGGGTTCATTCATGTCTTTTTTAAGAGGATGATATTTTAAATCCTATGGCATTTATAGTCTGTTGGATACATTTAAAAATTGATGTAACAGTTTTATTTAAATATGTCAATATTTGAAATGACATTCTTTGCAACTATTTAAATTTATGATAAACTTAAATGTCAATTTAAAAATACGTAGAGGGCACAGACTTAAAAAAATTTCTTCTAGGGGTTATTCAACTAGAGTTTAAAGAAAACAACTATAAAGCACTCCCCAGCAGGGCACGGAGGCTGAGGCAGGAGGATCCTGAGTTCAAAGCCAGCCTCAGCAACTTAGCAAGACCCTGTCTCAAAATAAAACATAAAAAGGGCTGGGAATGTGGCTCAGTGGTTAAGCACTCCTGGTTTCAACCCACGGTAACAAAAAAAAAAAAAAAAGAAGAAGAAGTGTATGTATTGGGGGAGGACTTTTTTGTCTCTGAAAGTGACAACATAAGGAAATGATGCTAACCAAAAAATATGATGATAGCAAAGAAGATAGGAAAGAGGGAGGGAAGAAGATGAAATAGAAGGGGGAAAACTGAATGGAATCCATACTATATCATTTTGCTCTGAATTAAGAAATCTCAGAATTGTCTAACCTCCAGATTGTTGTATGATACAATAAACTCTAATGTTACTTGTACAGTCAACAATCCTAATAATGCACTTGTCTTCAATGTCTCCTACAGATAACTGCCAGATACCCAAAGCACAACACTAGTGGTATTTATGCTAAAACAGTTTAAAAAACTGCTCAACCAAATTAAGTCAGTGTGTAAAGCATTGGTCCAAAAGAAAAATTTTGACAAAGCTTACAGCTAACTAGCTTTAGGATCAAATAATTTAATCCTCTCTGGTTCTCAGTTTTTCTTATCCATATACAGGAAAACTTGAAGAACAGATCAAGCTGATCTGTACAGCACTTTTTAAGTTCTAATGTCTTCCAAGACTACAACATTTAAGTACAAACATCTCAGTTTAGGCATCTAAAAGCTATCATTAATATGCTTTTCTATGAACCAGCCCATTTAAGAAGAAATCACCAGGCGCAGTGGTGTTCACCAGTAATCCCAGAGACTGAGGCAGCAAAAGATAGCAAGTTCAAGGCCAGCCTCAGCAATTTGGCAAGATCCTGTCTCAAAATAAATAAATAAATAAATAAATAAATAAGGTCTGGGGATGTAGCTAAGTGGTAGAACACCCCTGGGTTCAATCCCCAGCACTAAAAGGGGGAAAAATATGATTCTTCTCCCCTTACTTAATTATAAAGAAAACTATCTGCTGTAAAGGTTCCAACTATTCAAATCCATATTCCCTTACCAAAATTTAAAAAAATACTTAATAAATGTTTCAATTATAAAACCTCTTATTATGAAGTTGGTATTACATTGCTAATTATAAAACTACAAATCTTTAAAAATATTCCATACTGGGAAATTTTTTACTTAGTAAATATAACCTATTAGTACATTGATAAGAGAATATGAAAACTAAAATTATTAATTTAGATTTTAATTATACCCCCAGCCCCAGTTTCCTGTGGCTGGGGGTATAATTCGGTAGTACAGTGCTTAGCATAATCAAGGTCCTGAGTTCAATCTCCATCACCAAACAACCCAGCCTGAAGCCAAAGTTCCATAGTATGCAGTATTTCCAATCAATATTCCTCTCTTCCAGCAGAGACAGACTTTTGAAATCTATAGGGTGAATAAATACCACCTCCATGCTTCATTGCAGTTAATGAGCCAAGAAGTTGCTATAGAGGTTTTCGTCTTAATAAAAGGGGGAAAGAAGAGGGCCACTACACTATGAGGGGCAATTTTCCAAAATATGTATCAATGTCTCTCCATAAGAAGCCCTATTACCACAAGTAAGCAACTGCACGTCCCTCTGCACGTTTCCTTAAAAATTACCACAATGTTGTGAACTAACACAGTGGACATGAACAGTTCTGGAGGTCAGAAGATCTAAATCAACATAACTGTTATGTCCTACAGAGACTCTAGGGAAGAATCTTTTAGGATTCTAAGCTTCCACTGATAACTGGCATTCTTTGGAATACCTTTGTTTGTAGCCAATTATCAGTTTAATCACATTTGAAATTGGACTTAGGGTCTACCAAAGTAATCCAAGATTATCTCTTTATCTCAAGATCCTTAACTTTTTCTTTCTCTTTCTTTCTTTCTTTGGAAGTTGGGGGTGATACTGGAGCTTTCCCCAGGGCCTTGCACATGCTAGGCAAGCAATCTACGACTAAGTCTGTGATCCTTAAATTAATCACATCAGCAAATACCTTTTTTTCCTAAATAAAAGAACATTTGCAGGTTCCAAGGTTTGATATGAACATGTTTTAGCTTATCACATCCTCCTTCTATGAGATGTTGTGGTAGTTTAGAGAGATTAAGTAAAACTACCTCTTTTGTGTTATTTCTGATTTTCAACAAGAAATTTTACTGGCATAGTAAATGTTAAAAAAAAAAAACCCTCATTGTTTATATAAAAGGATAGGCTTTTCTATAGGTGCAAAGTCTATAGCAAGAAAAGTAAATTTAAAAAAATTTAAAGAACATATTAAAATCGAGACTATTATGAAGTGGTCACCAAATTTCCTATTTTTCTGTTCTTTATCCTTTTTTTTTTTTTGTGTGTGTGTATACGTGGTGCTAGAGATTAAACCCAGGGCCTTGTGCATGCAAGGCAAGCACTCTACCAACTGAGCTATATCCCCAGCCCTATTCTTTATCCTTGATGCCCAATGTCATTCTCAATAACTTCCTCCGAACTACTCATAGGCAGCTACACAAACAATGGGAATTTCATTAATTTGGCATTTGACTTGGATATACTCTTATGCTTAAAAATGTGATGTCCTTTGAAAAGTACACTTAACTTATCTGAATAGTTTAAAACTATGCTCTGATTTTAAGACATTTCCATGTAACTGTCAGGTACATCTAGGTAAGTACTGCTATGATTATTCTAATGTTACAGAGAATGTGTCCATTCTCCTATTGGTGAACCCATCCAGATTGATTCCAACTTCTTGCTACTACAAAGAATGCTACAATAAACATCATTATACATGTCCAAATGTGAACAGGAAGAAACTTTTTTGGATAAATACTAAGAAGTATCTCTTGATTTACTTATTAATTATGTGGTTATCCTTTGCTATGAATTGCCTAATTATTTATTATGTTCATTTAACTATGAGGCTCCCTATCATTTTATTGATTTGCAGAAATTACTTGAATATTATGGACAAGAAAATGGACAGCAATTCTTCTTGCTAGTATGTTTTTACTTAATCTGTGAACTTAACTTGGTCTAAGGACTGGAGATAAAGCTCAATGGTACAGTGCACAAAAGGCCCTGGGTTCAATCCCCAGTCCCACAGGAAAAAGAAAAAAAAAAAAAAAAACTTAACCTGGCCTATTGCCTTTAAAAACAGAATTGCTTAATTCAAATTTGATTTTGAGTAGTCAAATTAATTGATTCCTGCCCCCCCTTCATGTTTTATGTTTTGGGGATCTTGTTTCAGACTCAACCCATTCAAGACCATAAACTCTCTTCACTTAGTTTAATATAAAATTTAACTACAAAGCTCAGTGTCTATACCAAACCCAAATCTGCTGGCATTTTGATCTTAGGCTTCCTGGGCTCTAGATTTCTAAGCAATGAATTTCTGTTGCTTATAAATTTACCTATCTAAAGGTATTTTGTCATAGCAGTCCAATGCTCTAAGACGGTCCTAAAGGAAAGCATTCACTTTTTTTTAAAAGTACCATTTTTAGCTTTTCATATTGCTAGTACTTGGCACAAAACCCACACTTTTTCACAGATAGATTGTATTCATTTAAATCAGCAAAAAAAAAAAAAAAAATTTCAGGGCATATATGTTTAGCATACTACTAAAGAAATTTTCCTCAAGAAATTAATGTGTGAAAAGTCAAACCTGGTGTTTAAAAGCTCAGAAGAGTAATAATACAAAGCAGTATATAAGCCAGTGCTAAATGAGTGGCATATAGTAAGTGCCAAAACAATAAGATACATTTTTCAAATCTGATAAATTTATTTACAAAATTCATAAATGTCTCGGAAAGTATGTGAATTACTACTCCTTATCCAGTTGAGCCCTTTAAAAAAATACAATGAGTAACATTAATAGGAATAAAAATGAAAATAATTTCTTCCACGATACACAAAATTTTTAAAAACTGAAATAAACAAAAAAACAACATACTTTCTTCTAACTACTTTCTACATCCCAACACATATTTTCATTTTCCCCCTTATGCATATTTATCTTCCTGATTTGTGGTTATCTTCCCTCTACTTAACAAAACTTTGATAGAGTAGACATCAGTGATCATATAATTTAAAATGTTAGACTATGTGAGTGAAAAAGGAGGTTTAAGCATAAATAAAATATTCCATTTTTTATAATAAAAAAGCTTATACCATCTAATCTATTCTTTATGGTGCATATATATATATATATATATATATATATATATATATATGCATCACTTAATAATGACATGTTCCCAGAAAAGCATAAGCAGGCCATTGTATCATTTTGCAAACTTCAGAGTGTAGTTACACAAATCTAGGTATATACCAGTCACCTGACCTAGCCTATTGATGCAGTAAACATAAGATGAGGCAGATGCTAAAATAATACAGCATGCTATTTCACAGTAAACTTTTTTAAATAAGTGGACGTATACTCTAAAATAATGATAATACTATAATAAACACTTAAATGACGAGTAATGAAGTCATTTATTATCACACATTATATATTGCATATAACTGTGCTATATTTTTATATAACTGCCACTAAAAACAGGTTCGTTTCCATGAGCATCAGCAAACATGTCAATAATACATCACACTACAATGTCAGGGACAATTATGATGTCACTAGGTGATAGGAATTTTTCAGCTCTACTACAATCTTATGGGACCTCCATGATATATGTGGTTTATTTCAGTTGGCCAAAATGTCTTTATACAGGACATAATTATATGCAAAAATCCATAGATACAACAGAATGACTGTTTTTAAATCTACAAACCTACCTTAAGAATAACTACATATAATTTATATATAATTACTTACAGCTGAAAAATTGTACACTCTAGGTATCACTGATTTACATTTTTGTTGACTGCATTCTATTTACTATTTCATCTTGTTCATGATTTATATTGTTTCCTTATAATACAAATATAAAAATATAAAAACTTCCAAATTTTATTAACAGATAAAGGCTATGTGAGCTAGACATGCTGGTACAGGCCTACAATCCTAGAGACTCAGGAGGCTGAGGCAGAAGGATTGAAAGTTTGAGGCCAGCCTCAGCAACCTAGCAAGATGCTATTTCAAATGAAAACTAAAAAAGGCTGGGGATGTGACCCAGCCATTAAGCACTCCTGGGTTTAATCCTTGGTACCAAGAAGAAGAAGAAAAAAAAAGTATTTTCAGTGAACATAGCGACATATAAACCTTCTTTACTGTAGCAATATTTTATTTTCTTATTTTATTGGTACTAGGGATTGAACTCAGGGGCACTTTACCACTGAGTCATATCCCTAGCCCTTTTTATTTTTTTTTATTCAAGACAGGGTCTCATTAAGTTGCTGAAGGCCTTAATAAGTTGCTGAGGCTGGCCTCAAACTTGGAATCCTCCTGCTTCAGCCTCCCAAGTCACTGGGATTACATGTGTGTAACACTGCAACCAGCTGTGCATTATACTTTATGTTGTTTTGGTTCTAACATGAAATAACTGTATTCCTATATTTTTGTAATAAAGATTGTGAAACAATGTTTTTATAGGTCCAAATCCACGTATATATTTCTGAGATCATAGTCCAATAGAAAAACACTCCTATTCACTGGGAAATAATATTTAATGGCAAAAGAAAAAGAAGTTAAAAAAAAAACAGGCATGGAGAAAGAAGAATAAACGAAAGGTCTATTAAGAAATTTAAAAATATAATCAGGACATAAATATTATAGTTGATGATATTTAAAGTAAAAATTATTTGATTTGCTGAAAAAAACTCTAATAAAACTGATGTAGTCATCATTGCTTTGAGTATATTAAATGACAGATAAATAGGCTACACATCTTACTTGGTTATGTTTGAAAATTGATTTTATTACCCCAATCTGAAACAGTTTAAAGTGGCCAAATGTATTAAAACATTTTATTCAGAGAAATTAACTGCAGAAATTCAAACACTAATTCTATTTCAATAATTTCTTAGCTCAGCATGGTGGCCCATGCATGTAATCCCAGTGACTCAGGAGGCTGAAGCAGGAGGATCTCAAGTTCAAGGCCAGCCTCAGCACGTGAGACCCTGCCTCAAAATGAAAAATAAAGGGCTAGGGATGTAGTGGTAGAGCACCAGTGGGTTCAATCCTCAGCAAACCCTTCCACCATCTGCCAAAAAAGGAAGCTCAATGTTGTAGAGTCCTAGACCCAGAAGTTCTTTAAAAAAATAGCCTACCTATTGTGAAAAGTTCAGGTATATATATGTAAATCAGAAAACAGTAGCTGATCAAATCAGCTGTAGAATTTGATATAACTAAAGCTGCAAAGCAAAGATAATATCACCAAAGAAAGAACCTAGCCTGGTTGGGATACAATTCACTTTGAATTCTGGATATCTTAACTTGAAGAATCCCAATAATTTATTTTTGCTTTATTAACAAATAAACATTAGTACCATCAGTTGGTAGAGTGCTTGCCTCGCATGCACAATGCCCTGGGTTCAGTCCCCAGAACCACCAAAAAAAAAAAAAAAAAAAGAATACCAATAATCATTCAATTCCTCGGATCCTCATTTAAAACGAGAAACCCATTTCTAAGCATATGTGTACAAGTACTTTAGCCTCTTCATGCCTGCTTGCCTGTCCCACAGTTAAAGAAGGCAGGATATTTGGTTAGGCATATGTTTATGAGCAAAGGCAGGAAAATTCCAACTTTAAAACCAAATATTTTCCTTGTTTAATTCTGGTATCTTATTGGTCCATATGCTGCCTCCTCCTCACAGTATGGTACCAAAATCTCTTAGATCTTGACTTTCTTTTAGCATGTAATGGTAACATCAAGCAGACAGAATTGAAGAATAGAAATACTGGAAGAGAAAGCAGAGCAAAACAGATGATGAACTAAATGTATACTGATACCCCTGCTAAAGACATTAGGTATTCCATAAATGCTTGTTGAAGATAAATTCATCTTTTTCCCTTAATTTAAGAATTCTTGAGTTAATTATAACTCCTTTTTTGTGTATGTGTACGAAGGACTGGACCCAGGACTTTGTATGCTGAGCTATATCCCATGAAGCTGACAGATCCAGTCATCTTGTCAATTAACATAACAGGACATTGATGAGACTCTGATATATATATATATATATATATATATATATATACACACACACACACACATACACACACACAAACATTATGAAAGCAGAAATAAAATTGTCTTTTGCACTAGACAAGTGTTCTATACTAATATTCTGCTCATTGTGTGTTATAAAAGCTGCAACTAACTGGCCTATGCCTCGCCCTACCCCCCCAAAAGGATTGTATGAGTGCTCCATAAAATGTCTAGGAGGGGGACCTGGGGTTGTGGCTCAGCAGTAGAGCGCTCACCTAGTATGAGTGAGGCCCTGGGTTCGATCCCCAGCACCACATAAAAATAAATAAATATATTGTGCTCAACTACAACTAAAAAATAAATAAATAAATATTTTTAAAATGTCTAGGAGCGGGGCTAGCTTCAAGAAGACCAAGTCCATGCAAACAAATGATATATTTCAAACTCTACTGATATTCATCTCTGTTTCTCTGTATTGGCCTCACTTTCTCCTGCTTCAATTAGGGAGGGAAGCAGGCAGTTTGTGAGATGCTATTCTTTAAGCACTTAAAAGATATTTTTTATGCCCAAATGTCCAGAAATGGTGGCACCTGCTTGTAATCCCAGCTACTCTGGAAGTTGAGGCAGGAGAATTGTAAGCTTGAGGCCAGCCTCAACAACTCAGTGAGACCCTATTTCAAAATAAAAAAGAAAAAGGGTTGGAAATGTTGCTCAGAGTATCCCTGGGCTCCATCCCCATTACTGAAAATGAAAATAAAAAGTAAGTTTGAGAAATAACCACAATACCCTCCCTCTAAAAGACTCAATTTGTATTATAAACATTCTGAAAAGTTATTCAATAAAGAAAACTATTTAACAGTTGAACTCACATCTACAAATCACATTTGAATATGGAATCCTTTTTTAAGAATATCTTATATCTTTAGAACCACAGTTTGGAAAACAATAAGTTGAAAAATGATGACAATCCAGTATTTGATGAAAAACTGAAACAAACATTCTATCTGCTTACTTTTAAATTTAAAATATACCAGAAGACCACCAAATTCAATTTTGTATATAAAAAAGCTTACATTCCAGATTAAAATGAACTTACCTGCATCGAAATAAGAATGAAATCAATTAGGCTCCCAATTCCACAAAATCCTACAGTGCAAAATTTTAACAAACCTACAAAAGAAGATAGTCATTTACAATCTAAAAAGTCTTACAAATATTAGTGAACTTTTCCATTTTTCTAATAAGCCCTTGACTATAAGCTCTTTGTAGTATTATAATAAAATCAATATTTTTAAAAAATCACATCTAAAAATATTTAATGGATTCTCATATACAGAAAAGTCACAAAATAATTTATTTTTGCTTTATTAACAAATAAACATTAGTAAGAAAAACTCAATGTAATCTTGCAAAACTTCTCAAGGGAAAATACCTAAGGAAATAAATTTTTAAATCTTTTAGTCCTAAAATCCTCACTGACTTACTTAGACTTAACACATCAGTGATCCAAATTTTGCTATACATTTAGAATAGAAAGTTCAAATATATAGCGATTGGGGACTTATCTCAATGGCAGAGTACTTGCAAAGCATGCACAAGACCATAGGTTCTATCCTCAATACAAAAAAAAAAAAAAAAAAGTGAGGAAAGAAAGTTCAAATATATAAATTGTCATATATCTCTCTCATAAACACACACACACACACAAACACACACAAAAATCAGAAAGCAACACTAATCATTTAAAATTGCACAATTTTATTAGTACCCAATTACCTCTAATTTATCCTATACTTTTTTCCCTAAGCATTTTCTGTTTACTAGTACTAGTCAAAATCAATAGTCCCACACTAAGTACTTTATATATACCATTGGTCCTTGGTCCTAATCCAAGAATTAGGATACTAAAATAGGTGATAAAAGAGCATTGACTAACTGTAGGATATATATGGGGATATAACCCCAAAACATGATGGTTACTAGGAGATAAGTGATCCTTCTTCAGTATTTGAATTTCTTACAAGGCATCACAGTTGAGATTTTAAAATGGCATGAAAAAACAACTCTTTGTGAAAAGGAAGTTGCAAATATCAACTAAAAATAGGTAACAGCTAAAACTAAGTGTAAAAAAAGATCAACCCTCGCATACAACCTGGAAACACACACACACAAAAAAAGATTGAAATGCATAGGTACATGAGTTGATTTTCCCATCTTCTTAGTATAAGACACACTGTAGCATAATGTTATAAGTACTGGCTAACAAGTTACAAATAATTTAACAACTATTAAAAATATTATAGAAGCTGGGCTCAGTGGCGCACACCTGTAATTCCAGCAGCTGGGAAGGCTGAGGCAGGAAAATCACAAGTTCAAAGCCAGCCTCAGCAAAAAGTAAGGCACTAAGCAACTCAGTGAGACCCTGTCTTTAAATACAATACAAAATAGGGCTGGGAATGAGGCTTGGTGTCAAGTGCCCCTGAGTTCAAACCCCCATACCAATAAATAAACAAACAAATAAATAAATAAATATTATAGAAAATTTCACTTTGTTTTCTTCAAAACATTTATTATATACACAACATTTTGAGTTATCTTTTTATTTTGAGATATGGGCTTGCCAGATTGCCAGACTGGCCTCTATATTGCGATCTTCCTGCCTTAGCTTTCCAAGCCAGACTATAGGTATGTGCTGCTGCTATATCAGGCTACAAGTATACTTAGTTTATATCTAACTATGCTTTTAGTTATACATAAATATAGTTTTATTTATAACTTAAGTTATGTATTTTAAAAACACAAATTTGGACATATCCCTTATTACTCCATTCATTTTATTTATTTATTTTAAGGCAGGTTCTCACTAAATTGCCTTGGCTGGCCCTGAATCTGCAATCCTCCTGCCTCAGCCTCCTGAGCTGCTGGGATTAAAGGTGGGTGCAGCACACATATACTGTATCCAGCAGTATATGTTGCTCCATTAATATGTACAGTTGTTATTTTTTAATGTACCAGAGAAGAAATAAATTTTTAAAAAATGTTATTTTGAAACATTCGAAAAGTAATTACTACATTATCTATTTAAGGATTATAAAGTTAATTTTTTATAACATTAAATAAATAAAAATTTAAAATTAAAATAAAAATGGAAATTTAGTAATAAGATTTATTTAGGTATAAAGTAAAAAGATAAGATAGCTGGGGATACAGCTCAGTAGTATAGCATTTGCTTAATGATATAAGGCCCTGGGTTCAATCCCCAGAACTTCCAGAAATTAACTTGATATTCACAAAAAAATCTGTGATAATTTTTTGCTTTAGAAGTTGGGTCTTGCAAATACTATTCTGTCTGCAACAGTTTTGTTTTTCTTTTATTATTATTATTTCTTTTTTTTTTTCTTCTTTTTTTTTAATGTTTACAGTACTAGGGATGACACCCAAGGGCACTTTACCACTGAGCTACATTTCCAGTCTTTCAGGCTTGAAAAAAGGTCTTGTTAAATTGCCAAGACTGGCCTCCAAATCACAATCCTGCTTCAGCTTCCTGAGTAGCTGGGATTAGAGGCTTGAGTCATCATGCCTGGCTCGCTCGCTCTCTCTGTGACTGTTTTAAAAATGCAGATTATTTCACATTGAGGTTGGAGACTATCAAATCACAAGTGTTTTACAATGATTTGATAACTAGGTATTCTTATCCTTTTTGTGTATACATCTATAAAAGAGAGCTTTCAAATCTTAGAATAAAAGTTTAACCCATAAATCATTTTATTTGTCCTAGTTATCAGTGGTTATTACATACCAGTTCAAACTTGTAGTTTCAAAATTAACCCATTAAGTCCCAAGTTTTTAATTCTGTAAATATTTCTGTAAAACTGACACAGGAGGGGCTGAGGTTGTAGCTCAGTGGTAGAGCATTTGCCTTGTGAGGCACTGGGTTCAATCCTCAGCACAAGAAAGAAAGGAAAGAAAGAAAGAAAAAATTGTGTCCATCTACAACTAAAAAATATATACTTTTTTTTTTTTTAAAAACTGAAGCAGGAATAATAGCCAAAGATGTTTAAGATTTGAGTTTTAAAACACACCTTGTTATTTTCATAATAAAAAAATACTTACATTTTAAATTCAATATCTCTATGAAGAGTCTTTTCTTTTATTGCTTCCAAAACACCTATTAAGAATCCATAATCTTTTAATGTTGCAGATGGGCAAAATATGCCAGTTACTGCATATTTTTTAAAAACCACAGATGTTAACATAGAGTTAAAAACACAAATAATACTATTAGAAAAATAAGGCTTCATGGTGAAAAAAGGCTTCCAGCTAAAGCAAATACTGAGGAATAAATCAATTAAAGGAAATAAAGCTCTACATAAAGTCACAGAAAAGAACCAAACTACAGCCCTAAATATTTTTTTTTAATTTTCTTAAATAAATTTTTATATCTTGCAAGAAAGTTCATCTTCCACAAGTTCTTCATTTAATTCTGATACATCACACTTAAAACTAAATTACTTAGGAAATTTCACACTATCATGATTTACAGTATTTATTCTAATAAAATTCTAGTCATTCATTAATGGACATTATTATGAATAATGATATAAAAAACACGGGAATGCAAATATCTTATCAAGTCACTGATTTCATTTCCTTTGAACACAAACCCAGAAATGGGATTGCTGGATCATATGGTGGTCCTATTTTTAATTTTGGAAGGTTTTTTCATATTGTCTTAAATAATGGGTATATCAATTTACATTCCCCAACACTATACAAGGATTCCCTTTTCTCCACATCCTTACTAACATTTGTTATCATTTCTTTTTAATAGATGATCTAAGAAGTGTAAGAATAATGATTAGTGATGCTCAACACCTTATCATATACCTATGGGACATCTGTTTGTCTTCTTTGGCAAGATATCAATTCAAGTCGGTGGCCCATTTTTAAATCAGGTTATTTGTTTTTCTGCTATTGAGTTGTAGAAGTTCTTTATATGGTCCCTTCTCAGACATATGGTTTATAAATATTTCAGAATACATATACAGTGGACTCAACCTTTCAAAAGGAGGAAATCTTTCCATCTGTAATTATGAAGATGAACTTGGAGGACTTTATGCTAAGTGACACAAGATAGCCACATAAAAACAAATATTTGATGAGAATACTTAATGTAGTATCTAAAATAGATGAACTTAGAGAAACAGGGCAGAATGATGGTTGACAAGGTTGTGGAGTGGGAATAGAGAGATGCTGGCCAGGAAGAATCAACTTTCAACTACAAGATGTACTGCCCACGTCCCGCAGGTGATAGAGTCAGGGTCACTCAGCATGAATTGGGCTGGCAACAAAAAGACTACACAAACACAGAAATATCTTTTGTGGGGATCAGGGACAGCTCTGAGATCTCAGTTCCCACGTTGGAGGGCAAGAGGAACAAGGGAGGCAAGAGAGAAAGAAAGTACCCCAAACCCCTGTATTTATTAGAGGAAAGACACTGATAGAATATTCCACCAAATAAGTCAAGGGATTGTGTTACAACAAAAGGGGGTGTAGCCCAGTCCCATGGGTGATGCCCAATCCTAGCGCTGCACTTCCTTGCCAAGCGAAGGTAAGATCTACTTGCTTTGCACTGCATGAAATGCCAGTTCAATATCCCCATTACTCAAGGCTGAGGAGGCGTGCTCAGCTCCAACTCAGGTGCCCCCCCACAAAGATGGATGAACTTCTAAGTATCTATAATACTATATGCTAAATACAGTTAATAAAAATGTAATATATACCTAAAATTTGCTATGGGAGATTAAATTTTTTGATACAAAGAAAGTATATATATTTACGCATTACCATGTGACATTTCTTTATCTATATACATCATGTAAGGGGAAAGATTTTGTATACTCAGTACACAAACTGAAAAAAGAGCAGGGTAGGGTAGGGGGAGGCTGGAGTTGTAGCTCAGTGGTAGAGAACTTGCCTAGCACACTTGAGGCCCTGGGTTCAATCCCCAGCACCACAAAAAAGAACTACATAAGGCATACTTATACAAATATATTGTTGGGGCTGGGAGTATACCTCAGTTGAACATCACTTGTCTAGCATGTACAAGGCCCTGAGTTTGATCCCTAGCACTGCTAAAACAAATCCTTGCCAGTGCAGTGGCACATGCC